GAATTTTGTAATTTTGGCCCGAATTATACTAGCCAAAATTAAAAAATGTTTATTATAAACCCCAATTTTAACCTTAACACTAACCCTAAAGTCTTAATTCTGTCAAAACAATTCACAAGATTCCCATCTGAGGCAGCCTGATTCTGGATCGAGACGATTCCAACCTGGGTACAACATATATAAACAAGTGCATGAATAAATATAGCCATATGTATTAGAAATTATCAGAAATAAAGTATAAAGTTATGAACACTTCTATATATATTTTTGATACGAAGTCGACTAAGTTTAAGAGATTTATAAATACAATCTGAGTTCTATAAAAAATTTTGGGGTATGCGTAAATAGATCTGATCATCTGCACATATGATATAAAATTTTTTGTTGAAAACTTTTCCGCTTTAGTTAAAAAGGAAATGTGGCGGATCGCGAGTAAAAGTGCAACCACATTTCACGTCTGATAATAAACTATTTCAGATATGATCTACAGCATTTTGATAAAAACAGAAACTGTACAAAGAAATTTTTAAGGTAGAAAAAATTGTATTTAGAGAAAATCTATATTTTAAAGAGAATAATTTATACACCTCGAAACCAAAACTAGTCATGTATAATAGAAATAGAAAAGTGGCATTTTGGATATTAAAATTTTGCGTGATTATATCTAACTAAAAAAGAATAAATAATTGATAATCTATGATATATAAATAAAATAATAATCAAGTATTTTTTATTAAAGTAGAATTTGTGTATTATTTGTAAATGAACAAACGAATTTAGACTCATTAAATAATTTTCTAATAGATAAAGTTAAAATAAAGTTTCTGGATTTTAAAATTTTGTCTGATACTAGTTATGACCTGTTGCTTCACTAAAAATCTAAATTAGAATTAACTTCATAGAACACAATAAGATAAAAACTAAGTGCAACATATAGACAGCTCTTATTGGTTTAACGATATTGATTCTATGAGTAAAAAAATATTTGCAATGATTTAAAAATTCTATCAAAAACTTGATTATCATCATTATCACTGCGAAATTGAAATAATATAAACAAATGCCGCATTGGATCACATAAAAATAATATACGGAATATGATTCATAGAAAGTATATATAGCCAGTACCTAAAATTCAATCTTAAATTAGTTGCTAACCACAACTAAAAAATAAAATTCTACTCGCAGATTATAAATATTTACCTGAACACATAAATATTTAATCAAAATTTATTGCAACTTTACGTGCGAAATCAGCATATGCTCTTAATTTTTAATTGCAGAAATTTAAAATTTTTATACCTGCAAGCTTCGCAACCCAATTTCAGATATTTATATAGTTATTAGAAAGTAGGTAACATAATATTTATATACAGTATACAAAAAGTTAAAGCTTTAATATAAACTTTTATTGCCCAAAAATATTTTTTTCAGCACTTCTGATTAAATGGTGACAGGGTTTCCGAAGCTCATACATACTTTACTAAAACCGATTTCTTAGTATGTAGTTAGTTGTCTACTAGCTATCACTATTGTAGGTGCATCACCATCAAATAAGTTGAGGTATAAGTTAATATGGTTATTTTGATATCTCGGTTGCCCATTTATAGGAGTATTTGCAGCCGTTAACATAGGAGGTGATGAATTATCATGATGTATATTCTGGCTTCTACCTGAATATTTTGTAATAAAAGGAATATCAACTTCATCAGAATACAGACCTGTCAGATTTTATGCTATGAAAGTGAGTAAAAATCAAAATAAAGCACTTAGGGAAAAAATAGAATTGTGTATAGCAAAAGCATCAGTTCTAGAAAGATTTTCCTCATTAGTATCAGTATATTATATAATAGTTGGTATAATAGCAGGAGTTTCCAGGGTTTTAGGAACAGTTTCGTGTCAGGATTGGCTATACATACCAATATTATTATCCTGGACAATTTCAGCTCTCTGTAGAAGAGCATTTTCGAGAAACCTAGTAGTTAAAGACCCTAAGAAGATATTTAGAAGCAGTAACAATGACATTGACATTGAAAGCGAAAAAAATGTAGTTAAAATAATTTTGGAAGTTACTGATTTGGAAGCAAAAGGTATCAGAGATAAGCGTGCTATCATAACATTAACTGCATTTTTATCAATCATTTGGCCTTGGCTTGCTTTAATTTTGGCATACTTAACACCTCTGGTCGGATATTTTTGTAGAAGCAAATATCTCAC